TCCAATACCAAAGTTAATTCTAAACATATTAAACTTTGACTGTTTTTCAAAATTACTTCAGAGCTCTCAACAATATATAGAAGAAAAATGCAATTTTAGTAACCTGCTGGATAAATGATAGGATGCTTCCAACAGAACAGAAATTCCAAGATGTTTCTCTCCTAGCAAATTATCCAGAGAAAAAAAAGGTGTGGTAGGAACCAACTGCTAAAAACTGTAGGTTATAAGACTATGCAAAACAATAATAAACCACCTAACATATAAGGGAGTTTCCTAGTTAAGCAGCAATGTGCACTATGTAGCAGGGAGCTATACCAAGCTATTACAGTTCAGGGTGGACAGAGAGAGCCAAGCCATTATGGCTTGGTGAATCAAATATCCTTCAACCAGGTTACTGTGGAATCAGCTTGGATAAGTTCCTCTGTATAGCTTAATGTCAACTTTTTAAAACTACTTGGGTACCTCCAAAATTTAAACTAACTTTAAAAACAACTGTTAGAACTTATGTAGTTTAGTAAAATTTCCTTCTTAAAAGTATTACAATAAAATATTGTGAATGGCTTAGACTTAGATGTCCTCTAAGATTAACTTTCCAGTATTTTCAGCTCATCAGAAAAACAAAATTCATGGCCAAATTCATTTAATATTGATTTCTTTGCCAAGTAATTATTACATTTATGCCTTTATATATTTGGTTACAAGAATCTAAACACTGTCTATTGGGCAAGACAATCCTAAGGCTGCACTTGCACATTTGAGGCGATGTTGGATTTCTTTGTTGATATCAGCCGTCTGCAAGAGATGGAAACCAAGGTATCGGAAATGCACAACGTTCTCCAAAGTTTCACTGTGGATATGGATTATTGGAGCTGGATACTGTTCATTAGGAGCTTGTTGGTGGAGGACCTTAGTCTTCTAAACATTAAGCGTCAGCCCCATTTTTTTGTACGCCAGTAAAGACATTGGCCTTTGTCTGAAGGTCCGTTTCTGAATGAGCATGCACTACAGCATCATCAGCTTACTGGAGCTCAGTGATTGTAGTTGGGGTGGTCTTGGTTTTGGCTCAGAGTCAGCTGAGATGAAACAGCTTACCATTTATTCAATAGTTTAGCTCCATTCCATCTGGAAGCTTGTTTGTGGTCAGATGCAACATTGTGGCAAGGAATATTGAGAAACGTGTTGGAGCGATGATACAGCCTTGCTTAACTCCCATTTTGCTGTCATGGAGCAAGTAGCGAATGGTCACAAATTTCAGTGGGCACCCATACTTCAGAAGGATCCTCCACAACACTTCTCAGCTGATAGAGTTGAAAGCTTTTGTAAGGTCAAAGAATGCCAATTAGAAAGGTTTATGTTGTTCCCAAGATCATGTCAGTTTTGCCTCTTGATGCCTTAAACCCACACTGAAATTCCGGGATAAGCTCTTCAGCAAGGAGACAATTGAGAAGGGTTCTCACAATTACCTTTCCTGCGGTGGACAGCAAGGCAATCCCTCTGTAGTTTCCATAGTCAGACTTATCTCCTTTCTTGAAGATTGCTGCAGTCATGGCATCCCTGGAGTCATCTGGGATTTCCTCATCATTCCAGATCCTTAAGATGAGGGCATGAAACTTTGATGTAAGCTCCTCTCCTTCCCGTTCTAAGATTTCAGCAGAGATTTCATCCACTTCAGATGTCTTGTTGTTCTTCATCTGTTTGACGGCTTTCCTCACTTTGTCGAGGGTTGGAGGGATTCTGAGATCATCTCTGACTGGGTGTTGTAGGGTAGAGTTGAGAACACTCTTGTCAAGAGTGTCAGTTAGGAAGGTCTTCAAAATGCTCTTTCCAATGCGCATTGATGCCTCCCCATTCCTTGATCAGGTCTCCTCCACTATTAGGTGTCAAGGGGGTTGGTCCCTGAGTGCTCGAACCACAGATGGCTTTGATGGCACTGAAGAAACCACATGTATCATGGATGTTAGCCAGATGTTGAATCCCCTTTGCCTTATCTTCCCACCACGTGTTTTTCATGTTGTACGTCCGCCTTTGGACCTCTGCCTTGGCTTGTTGGAGATTCAATTTCTTTTCCTTGTAGTTGGTGTCATTTTGCCAAGTACAGAAGGCCTTGCATTTGCGATTGATCAACTCTTGGATCTCCTGGTCGTTCTCATTAAACCAGTCTTGACGTTTCCTGGCAGAGAATCCAAGTGTCTCGTCACAGGCACTGATGACTGGCCTTGAGGGCACCTCACATGCTGCTAACATTCTCTCATTGTTGTTGACTGGAATTCACCAGTTTTTCATTGAGGCACTGGT